TTTCGGGTGGGCGCCGCGTGCGACACCCCTGCGCTCTGGGCCTGAGGAAGAAGCGCGCCCTTCGACGCGGGCTCCAGCCCTCTCCGGAGCCGCCGGTGTGGCCACGTGTCCCGAGCATCCCGCCACCCCAGGGCCTCCACGTCCTCATGTGTAAAACAGCGGAAAGGATGGCACCTTCCTCAGCAGGTGGTTTTGACGCTTAGGGAGCGAATAATTGACAGGGGTGCTTGTCACAGGTGAGGGCCTGAGCATGTCTGTGTAACTGACGTTACATGCGCATTCCTTTTTCACATGTATGTTTGAGTCGGAGTCTCACTCCGTCACCCAGGCTGGACCGCAGCGGCACGGCTACCGCTCACCGCAGCCTCAGCCTCCTGGGCTCCGGCAGCCCCCCCACCTCCGCCTCCTGAGTAGCTGGGACTGCAGGCGCATGCCACGACGCCTGGCCAGGTTTTTGGTTTTCTGTAGAGACAGGGTATCGCTATGTTGTTCAGGCAAGCCTTGAACTCCTGGCTTCAAGTGGTCCTCCCGCCTCAGCCTCCCCTAGTGCTGGGATTGCAGGTGTGAGCCACCATGCCTGGACAAGCTTTTATTTTCGATGTTATTCCAATATCATAACATCAAGTTCATATATAGTAGTATTTTGTAACATGGTTATAGTATTATATTCCAAAATCATTGTAACAAGAGAGCTCAGAAGAGGTCTTTCCGAAGAGGTCCCACGTCTTCACCCCCCGTTCTCTTTGGAACTGGCTTGTCGAGCTCATGGGCGAGATGGCAGGTGCCCCTGTGCCCAGCCACAGCCCTGACCATGATGCCAGGGGGAGGTGATAGTGCAGGGCTGCCAGCCCCATGCGGGGGAGCAGGCCCCCGCTCCGCGATCCCAGCACCCACAGGGCGTCCTGTGGTCTTCGTCTTCCGGCCTGCACACTCGCCCTGGGGGCAGCATCACCGTCCCCCCTTGACGGCTGGGCTCACGCAGCTCACAGGGTGCAGCCCTGGCCAGTCACCCAGCTTGCCAGAGGCAGAGCCGGGGCTCGGACGCTGGCCTTTGGGATCTGCAGGCCGCCCTGCTGCTTCCCTGTGTGTCCTGGCCTTCCTGGGGCCGGGCCGGTCTCCGTGGGCCTGCAGGGCCTGGGGCCAGTCGGGTGGTGGCAGGCTCCGGCGAGAAGTGGGCGGGCTGTGGTACCCCACACCTGTCCCACGCCAGCACTGCTCCCCCCTGCAGAGAGGAGAGCCACCCCTCGGTGCCTTACCACTACTTCGAGAAGGGCCACCTGGACGAGTGTCAGATGTACCTGGCGCACGAGCGGGCGCCCCGGAGCGCCCACCGCTTCCTCACTGAGAAGGCCGTCTTTTCCCGCTGGGCCAAGAAGAGGTCCATCCTGTTCGCCCACCCGTCTTGGAGGACCGAGTAGCCCTTGTCGCCTGGTCGGCCGCCACGGCTCCGCCAGCGCCCTGTCCCGGCCTGGGCCACCACACTCCACCAAAAACATCTTAATTTATGGGTCCTGCTGCGCGCCGGTCGACCAGGGGTCCCTTCCCGCCCCACCCTGGAGACTCTTGAGCCATCTTGGGCCAGGGGCCGTGGACGGGGCCCATCCCTCGTCGCCATCCCTGCTCCTGGAGGAATCCGCTGCATCTGGGGCCTCACCTCACCTCCAGGGCTGCCGAGTGGCCTTTGCCCCGGGGCTGATGGCCCCACTCACCAGCATCGTGATGCTGTGCCAGTCCTGTCCTTCCCCCACAGTCGCCCTCGGTGCCATACTTCTCAGGCCAGTGGCCCCAGCTGGGCGAGGGAGGGGCCCCTGCTCTGTGCCTGCCAGGGCCGTATCCGCAGCGTACGGGTAAACGTTTCTCCGGAAACTGTCTCCAGCGTGGTCTTGTCTGGGGCTGGGGCTTGGGGCTTCTCTCCCTGTCGAGATCCCACAATCTGTCGGTCTGAAGCCCTGAGGCCCTCCCTGGGCCCTCGCTGGCTGGGCTGGAGGCGTTTACGTGGCTGAGTGCCTGTTCATTTCTTCCCCAGCGGCCTCCTGCCGGCGGTGCCAGCCCGACCCCCTCCCCCGGCCGCCCGAGGCGCCTCCAGGGTCTGGCCCCCAGTTTACTCTGGCCCTGGAAACTGACCCCTTCTTTGGGAACCCTGCTCTTCACCCAGTGGGAGGAGCCTCAGGCCTGGGAGGAAACCACTCCAGAGGGAAGGACACTCCCCCACCCCTGTCGCCTGTCCTGGGTCAAATTCCAAAGACCGGTCAAATTCCCTGTTAAATTTGGAGTTGGGCCCTCTGTAAAACAGGAAGGCAGAAGGCAGCCCTGGGTGGGAGTCGGGGGGCTGCCTCCAGGGGGTCCAGCCCTAGCTCGGCCTGCGGCTCTGCAGCTCTGACGTCCGCTTTCCTCACCTGGAGGTGGGAGACACATTTACAAGGGCTTGCGGCCGCCCTGGGTGGGGGCTGGAGTTAGCCTGTTTTGTGGCTGTCCTGAGCCACCCAGCTGAAGCCAGGCAACTGGGAGTCGCTGGGCCAGGAAGCAGTCCTGGGCAGGAGAGCCGAGCCTGGGGACCCCACCCCTGCACCCTCAGGCTGGAAGAAGCCCTCCTGGGCGCTGCCCTTCCCCGCTCCTTTGTCTGGAGACCGGGAGGCTAACAGATGGGCCAAGGGCCTTTGGGCTCTCAGCCGGAGTGGAGCCCTGGGTTCCAGCTCCCAGCTGCAGGGGCCAGGGCCCTATGCGAATGCTGTTGCCAACTTGAAATTCTTTTCTTAAAAATTGTTTTTTCACATAGTTACTTTCGATGCTTTGGGGAGCGCCCCACAGGATAAAAAGCACTGGGAAGGGGTAACCCCCTCACCCCAGGAGTGGCCCAGGGGGCGAGAGGCTGCCCGAGGGGAGGGAAGCCCAAAGGGACCCGCTGCAGACTCGGCCAAGGGCATGCCGTCGGTGCTGGGACCTGTGAGCAGGACTCGAGGAGACGTCAGCAAGCGTGGTGGGACTGGCTCCAGGCATACAGGCAAAGGGCAAGGGGGTTGGACTTGAAGTCGCAGAGCTACTCGGGTTCCTTCTCCTTCTCTTTTGCTCTTTTCTGCTTCTGCGGCGTGATCTCCGAGTCCCTCTGCTTGCGGGCAGCAGCAGAAAGCCCGTCATCTCGGCACGTTCCCTTAACCGAGTCGCTCTGCTTTTTCATAGCCTTCTGGCGGGCGCACTCAATGCTGGTTGCTGCAGGCCCTGGTGACCGCAGTGGCTCTGACCTGCCTCCGTTGAGTCCCCTCGTTTGGTCCCTAGGTTTTTTTGTTTTGCTTTTGTTGAGTCGGAGTCTCACTCCATTGCCCGGGCTGGAGTGCAGTGGCTTGCTCTCGGCCACCCCAGTGTCAACCTGCTGGGCTCCAGCAATCCCTTGCCTCAGCCTTCCAAGTAGCCGAAACTACAGGCGCGTGCAACCATGCCCAGCTAATTAATTTTTATTTTTATTGTAGAGACGAGGTCTCGCCAAGTTGCCCGGGCTGATCTCAAACCAATGAGCTCAGGCAATCTACTCGCCTCGGCCTCCCAGAGTGCTGGGATGACAGGCCTGAACCACTGTGCTGGGCCTCCAACAATTTCTTTAGCAAAGGGCCTGGCATTTCTTTGCCACGGGACCCCACAGATTACGGAGCCAGTCACGCCAGAGGGCTCTGGGCGACCCGTGCACTCTCCCTCCCGGCCCCGGTCCTCTCAGGAGGGGCTGGAGACCTGGCACCTGGCCGGCAGCCCTGCCTTGGCGCCCTGCCTCCCCCTGCCCAGCGCCAGGCGGGCCGGAACGCTCTGCAGGCGTGGGAGGAGGGCAGAGAGCCCTGAGCCAGCGAAGCAGGGAGCAGGCTGTCACTGGGCCGCGGCGGCCGGCCTGGCAGGGGTGAGGGGCTCCCAGGAGTGCTGGGAGAGGTAAGAGTGGGGTGCAGCCTGGCAGATGAGGATGGGGGGGGGTTTCCAGGCTTGGGGAGGGCCCTGGAGTCAGGCCTGACCTCGTTTTGGCACCACTTCCTGCTGCGGGGCCCTGTTTCACTAGTTCTCCCTGGGGCTCAGTTTCCGCATCTATAAAAGGTGAAATAGCCCCCCCTTTACGGACTGTGCGAACTCAGTGACAGTGGATGGTCTCTGGGGCTCAGGACATCGCCGGCCCTTAGTATATAGAACCGTCGTTGCCAGCAGGGCCGTCTGCCCCCGTCTCATCTCTGCCCTGCCGTGGTGGTGATGGGGAAGCAGGAAGCTCCCACCCCGTCCATTGTCTCCGGCTCGTGGGCTCATCCCGGCTGTCCCGGGCTCAGGGGCTGTGGGTCCTGGTGGCGTGTGACCTCTGCCCCCTCCTGGGAGGCTGCCCCCTCCATCCCACTGGGACACGCTGGCCCAGCTCTTGGGCCTGGGACACAGAGGCTCCTCTGTCTTGGCCCTGCCCCAGGGTGGGGTGTTTACTGCTGGGTTGGCCCAAGTCTTGGGTCCTTCTGTGGGTGGGAACACGGCCGCAGCGATGCGTCAGCCACTTCCTCCAGGCGACAAAACTGACCCCTGACAGGTCTGGAGGCCGCTCTGGGGTCTGCTGAAGATTGTCCCAGCGGCAAGACTGAGACCTTCCTGCCTTGGCCACAAAAGGCCCTGCAGCTGCCGGGAGGTAAATGGGGGGCAGGAGACTCCCCACAGCCCTGGGGGCCCCTTGACAGGCAGCCCCTCTTGGGGGCTGTTTTCCTGACCATCCTTTGTCCCTCAGTGCACCTGCTGGGGACACCTACCCCACTTCCTCAGCGGGACAGCCAGGCAAGCTTCACAGCCTGGAAGTGTCCCAAGGGGCCTTTTCCTCGGAAGAGCCAGGCCAGGGGCTCACTGAGACCTCACATGCCCAGGTGAGGACAGAAACATCAGGGGACTGGTGGGCAGCATGTCCAGTGTCCTCTGGGCCAGTTTGCACCCTCCAGCCTCAGTCCAGGAAAAAGCAGGTACTTCCCTGTTCCAGCCCTACAGTGCCTCTGCTGAGGCCCAGGTCTTGGGCACAGGGGCTGTGTGGCGGTCCCCACCTGCTGGCTGCACCCCCTGGCCTCTCCTCTCCAGAAGCCCGTCCCTGGGCAGGAGCCCCAGGAGAGAGACAGGAGCCCCTAGCCCTGGCTCCCAGCCTGGCTCTGCCCAGGACCCACGGAGTCTGGGAAAGGTCTGTCCTCTCTCTGGCCCTGGATTTGGATTTCTGTACGATGGGAGCTGGAGCAGCAGGTGAGGAGGTCTCTTCCAGTTCTTTAGAACACCGTGGAAGGGAACATTGTAACAGCTCACAGAAGTTTGCTAAGGGTCTAAGAAGCAGGGGGGTCACGGACAGGACCCCTACCCTGGGGGCAGGAAGGGCTGAGGCAGAGGCCCCCCCAGCCCTGGGGGGCACCTTGATGTGCAGAGCCAAGGGCCGTGGGGAGAGGCTGGAGGGGAGGACCACCAGGACTGGCCACAGTTACCATCTAAGCACGTCCTGGTGTGGCCTGGCCTGGCTCTCAGGCCTGGGACCTCGGCGCATAGCTGCGCTGTGGTTATTAGCCAGGAGCCTGTTCCTTCCTCTGGAATGAGGAGCAAGTAGTGCCCATCTCATAGGTTAATTTAAGGGTGAGTGAGGTGTGTCTGCAAAGTGCTTCGCACAGGATAAGCCGCTTTTTCCTCACCCTCATTATCATGATTGAGGTGGCCGTTACTGTTCTTGGGGTTCTGGAGGGAGCCGGGGCCCAGAGACACGGCAGGCCTGACTGAGGAGCTCCAGGTCCGGACTGGGTCCAAGAGCTGGGCTGAAGAGCCCTCTGGCTTCTGGAGTTCGGGCCACTGGCCTGGGCTAGGGGGACGGCTGGGGAAAGGACGCCCCTGGTGCCGCTCCTGACCTGCTTCCCACCTGAACTGCCTGGTGCCCTGCCTGTGGCGTTCTATCCTGCAGCCCACAGGACAGGGCCAGTCGGCCTAGGATGACCGGGGTGGGGACCGGGCAGAGGCCACCAGGGGCTGGGAAGCCTCAAGCCCACACTTGTGGGCCGCCCCCTCCCCTGCATGGCAGGTGCTGGCTTTACAGCCGAGAGGCTGCACCTTGGATGGCAACTGACTTTTGCTGTAACTGAAAACAATTTACCGTAATTGTACAGTACAAACAACACAGAGTTCATCAAGTGAAGAGTGAAGGTGGAACCCGCCCCTCTTGCCCCACCTGTGTTTTCCAGGGGAACTATGGGCTGTAGGCCAGTGTGGATTCTTCCAGAACCTTTGGTGGACGTTTACAAATGTTAGGCATAGTTATGTTTCAAGAAAAAAAAGGTAGCCGGGCTCGGTGGCTCAGCCTGTAATCCCGCGCCTTTGGGAGGCTGAGGTGAGTGAATTGCATGAGCCCGCAGGGTTTGAGACCCGCCTGGGCCACTTGACAAGACCTCATCTTTACAATAAAATCAAAAAAATGAGCCGGGCATGGTAGCGCGCGCCTGTAGTTCCGGCTACTCGGAAGGCTGAGGCGGAAGGATCGCCGGAGCCCAGCAGGTCGAGGCTGCGGTGGCCAGGAACGGCCGCTGCACTCCAGTCTGGGCGACAGAGTGAGACTCTAACTCAAAAAAAAAAAAGAAAAAAAGGCAAAAGAAAAAAATGCTATAGATGTAGTTATTTTTAGAAATTCAAAATACATTTTTAAATATAAAAACAGGGATGGTCATCATCTTACTTTATTCCTCCAAAATTCACTTAAGCCGAAAGGAAAACAAACAAAAAACAGCCCAAATCCCTTCATTCCAGAAATAACCAGTATATATATGTGTATATATATATATATATGTGTGTGTGTGTGTGTGTGTGTGTATGTGTGTGTGTATATATCTATACCCACATACACACATGCACATATATATAT